CGCACAACCTTCCCGTCAACCCCGAGGATGGCTTCCGCATCAAGGACCTGCACGGCAACCCCGTTGACGGCCAGCAGCCGGGTCTCTGGCTCAACAACGCCCACAACGGTGGCCACATCAGCAAGACCGTTCACTGGGACAAGGCGGGCGAGTTCTCCCTCACCAAGTGGCCCAGCGGAAAGTACTGCCTTACCGGATATGATTACGGTCTCGGTGTGGCCTACCCCGCCCTCACCCCTGCTTTCACCTTCATGACCTACGATCAGCAGTCGTGCATCCCGATCGAGATCACCGAGGTGCCCTGCGACGTCCGTCACCCCAACAACAACTGCATCTGGAAGAACGGCAAGGGAGAGTGCTGCAACTCGGTGGACTGCGCCGCCAGTCAGGTGTAAGTGAAAACACACTCACACTCACACTCACACACACTCACACAAATAAACGTTGTTACTGTATACGCGTGTCATGGTTGGAAAGCAATGAGCGAATGAGCAAAAAGAGATAAGAATTATATGAGCGATGCCAATAATTGTGATGTCTGTATGGGCTTTGTGTATGAATTGAATCTATTTTTTTGTTTCGTGCCTTTTCTTTTTATCTTGCTCGGTCCATGTATACTAAGACTGGTTCATAGGATCTCTTACAGATATAATAACCCCGTGGTTCTGTTGATTCTGGTCCTGGTCTCCCTTCATCTCCTGTGGTGTCATATCTCGCCATTCTTCTATTTCGGTTGATACCCCTGTAATGGCGTGGACTCCTGAAGTCCTTTTCTTTATGTATAACGAAACCCACCATGCGCCAGCTCGCTTTATTATGCAAGATAGACCAGTCTGATGTCAACTGGTATGATTTGATGTTTCATTTGATCCACTGTCTGTGCGCGACTCATACAGTGTATGCCTTACTGCGCAGCACGACCGACCCCGGGCTCGAATTCTGACCATGCCTATGATTAAGGACTCGACGAGCTGAGCGGCTCACCGGAGGAGATCCGCCCAATGTTTAAGTGTCAAGTCCCCGAACTCTGACTACAGCTGCATCTCTGGGGCGCAGCATTCGCTGTTATGGTTCGATCTGGACCAAACACAGTTTTGATCTCAACTTGTGCACATAACATTTTCCCAGCCTGCATCACAATGCCATTATTCATGGCCCTCGCATACCATAAGCCACAATTCAGATAAACCTTTTGCCTTCAAATCCAAATTACCATGTCCATTGAATTTCCATCTGGCACACAAACAAGGAAACCCTTTCTTCATTTTCCTCTGAGGTGCTTTTACCTGGCAGCTCCCCGCCCAGAACCGCAAAATCGCCCCCCCTCTTCCCCGAGCCCGGGGTCGCCTCCGTCCTGCCCCTTTCCTTCCCCCTCTCCCTCTCCCCCTTCTTCCAAAATCAACCCATCATTCCCAACCGGCACGACCGCGTTCTGTGCTTTACTTAAGAAGAAATCCGTCTGAAGCCATGCCGCCACGAGCGGCACGAGCACTGTCTTAGAATCATTTATGCATAGAATTCTCCCTTGGCAGCTCCTTGCCTACGATGATTGCAGCGAAGAATCTAATCAGATCAGATAAGTCCAGGTCTGTCACCAGGTATCCGTGGTTGATACCCGCAAAGACCATGATTGGCTCCATGGTTGGCCCACTAGACTACTAATTCTGGTATGGCCAATCACCATGGATCAAAGATGCGTATGTCTTAGACTTGAACGAATCCAGTCGGAATCTCGGCTTGCCTGATCCGGAAATTGGTCTCTAGGTTACATGCATGGCTGTGGAGAGACTCAATTTGGCGTGCAATACGATTATTTGTGGACAGACAGCAGGAAAGAGAGGCCACCAAAGTCAATATGCTCTGCTGGCCATCGGAGTCCCTGGCCCTGTTCTAGCGGATACGAAGATGGAGGAGCTGGACTAGCCTTACGTTCTAGACACCAGCTCCATTGATCTTACCGAACTGCATACGGAAAAGATATTTTTCTCCTCTTCTCTATTCATCTATGTTAACTAAGAGAACCAGTCGATGCGAGCCAGCAGCTCAAGAAAAACCCAGGGTGAGGTGTCTCGTCTTAGATTGTGACCATCAATTGGTCAAATATTGGATCAAGGTAGCAATAGGCTATAGCGATGAAAGGACTATATTTCAAAGACAGGAGAAGATTAACGTTGTCAGTAGTTGATCAAGGGAGTAGTAGCCTGAAACAATCTTAAACTGCGATGGCTGGTCGAATGCATATTCTACGGATGCTTGATGCTTCTTTTATACGTTGATTATGTAACAATCTAAGACGAGTTTAATCACCCACCATGGGCCTATGGCGCAATTGGTAGCGCGTACGACTCCAGATCGTAAGGTTGCCTGATCGAGCCGGGCTGGGCTCATCTCTTTTTGATTTTTAATCACTTTGCTAATAATTTTTGGTCTATTCTGCCTCTTTATGCTTTGTTCTCTTCGGTGTTGGGGAACCTCTGGGTGAAGGGTGAGATCATGGGACCTTGCGTGGGTCATGCATGTTACGCGCGCATGCGGTCAGGAACCTCTCATCAGAGGCTCAGTCAACGCCGGCACCGAACCTCTCGTTTCCCTTCCTGATCGATCGCCCACCTCAACTTGGGAAGTCATACTGGACTTGAGACATCTATACCTCTATCCGTCGGCTATTATATGCCGAGAAAACTTGTTGGGATTTCTGGGCTGTTTCGGCGAACATTGCACTTGACTCTGAGGACCTTTCCACCACGGCAGATGCAGCTACCAAAAACGTGATGTAGGTCTATCTCTGCCTATCATATCATCCTTGAGCTCGAGCTCGAACAAACTACTGCTGATATATTGCTAACATCTGGCGCAATATCCGAACGACAGCCTAACTGGTTCTGTCCACTTGCGACCTCGCCGTGTTAGGCCTGTGTCAAACACGCGTCAGTTTCGACAGTCTCGGCTGTCGACAGCGACGGGGACTGGTACTCGTGTTAGAGTGCTGGTTGGCAAGCTAGCTCGCAATCGGTGCGGCAGGAGACGGGGAGGCATGTCGAATCTATCCTGCTGTCCACACATAGTGCAGTAGTCTCGCCGTGACCCGTGCGTTCGCGGCGCTGCATGAATCCATACATGCAGTTATTCGCCACTAATGCGGACGTTGCCTGTCCCAGAAGAGCCAACAAAACCCAGCCGTACAAGAGCCAGAGCTTACAACTACGAGCAAACAGGACCATAATTAAATTTGATCACAGTGTGAGCACGGGGCCTCGACTCCCCTCACAGACCGCACGACAGCCGTTCGGTGGAATATAGAGGTCTCGCACCGTGTTACCGGGTTAGTTCTCACCCATCCATGCAACATACCGGGGCGGCCGTGAGCCACGAGGGGAAGGACAGGCTAAGTGCATAAGACAAAAGACAAAAGACAAAAAAGAATGGATGAGCCCAGCCCGGCTCGATCAGGCAACCTTACGATCTGGAGTCGTACGCGCTACCAATTGCGCCATAGGCCCATTCTTGATGACTAAAGTCTAGTGCTATCGAACCTGAGGGCGCAGTATGTACGGGGTCTTCGACCCAGTTGTGGACTAGGTCAAACAACCCCACGCTCAAGGGACTCCCCGAAACCCTTTCTTGATAGGAGCGTGCCCTACGGAGACTTCTAGGTACAGATATGGGAGAAGGAGATTTGTGCTAGGGTACGACGAGGCGAGTTGTTTCTCGACTTGGCTGGCTCTCTGAAGACATTATTGCACGCAATTCCTATGTGCGCCATTCGACTAACGTGAAAGCGCAATGACACCCGATGCGCTCCGTGAAGATTCAGGTGCCCGGCAAATTGATATCGAGCGATAAGCCTATTTCCCTTCAAGAAGGCCGATATGCAGGCCAATAGGGGCAAACAAACTAGAGCTATTACGTCCTCCGCAACCTCGAGAAAAATTGTGGTGCTAAGTTTGCATGCTAAGCTGGATCATTATCAGCGTGGTAATATAGCAACATCTATAGGATAAAAATTTCAACAAATGGGCCTATGGCGCAATTGGTAGCGCGTACGACTCCAGATCGTAAGGTTGCCTGATCGAGCCGGGCTGGGCTCATTCTGTTTTTGATTTTCATCCGGCATTCACCATCTCATCCATATCAGATCATTCACCGTTAGTCTGTCACTAGACGACTTACATGGTTCTTCCCACGCTCGCTCATCCCTCCACATTCTCACTAGACAGTATTGTCTCTGAATTACCGTCCCAACAGTTCAATGCGTGCAAGAGGTGGTGTCCTCCCGGTTGCAGGTCGCTGAAGTAAACCGTATCATGTCCAACGGGAAGACTTATCAAGAACCTTCCGACTGTTAGGCAGTCTGCACCGGATGATCCACCTCTAAAGAGACACATTCAGGTAGACAAGCTGATCCCTTATCCTTCAGGGGTTGAACAGCCGTGCATGCTTCTCCTTTCCCAAAAGTGGCCTTACCATACCTCGCCCGAACTGCGGGTCCTCACAATTCCACCCCACTTTCGATACCAAGACACGCGTTTGTGACAACTGTCGCATGCCGCAGACCCCCCACTATGTACCTGCTATTGGGGCTCAGATGTAGTGAGTCTGTTGAGAGTTGCACGTGCGACCTACTGCCCAAGATGGCACCGAGTCACCAGCGGGTACTATATGTTGCATGCTCGAGACCTCAATGCCCAGAGGCTGCATGAGACGCAACGTGTGGTTGGTCCGTGTTGCTCGCCTGAATATCATCACAGCAGATAGAGTGGAAGTGAGGCACAGGAGCCACGAACGCCATGGACAGCTGTATGGCACAATTCCCTTTTCAGAAGCCCAACTGGACACAAGATCATTTCGGCAGAATAGCCTGGGAATAGAAAGTGTAGAGTGAACTGGCTCGGGTTTTCTTATTACGAAAGGGTTGACAGCTATGTTTTCAACGGCAAATATGTTCCATCATTAACCTTCAGTGCGCGGCTAAACTGAGACAGGAAGAAGAAGAAACATGAGCAGCACTGGAGAGTTTACTGTGACCTCTCAACGTCAAACGCAAACGCAACGATTGCAACGTTTTATGTCAATAAATCAAGCAAATTTACAGTACATCCATTTGTATCAGTAGCCAAGTTCAAGGCTAGGCCAAACACTACAGAAACCAACATAAGGCGGATCCAACAGCAAGGTCAAAAACTCACAAATAGATCCCACAGCTAGGCTGCACACTTGACCAGACCAAGATTTCCCTGCTTGAGGTTTGGCACGAAGCCATTGATCTCATCCGTGCTGAAGCTATCGATGTTCAGAGAGTCTTCAGTGCGCAGCAGCTTCCTCACATGGTGACGGATATCATCCTCCGCTCCATGTGCAGCAGCACAGAACTTGATGGTACGATCTAGCTCTTCCTGCGTGATCTTATCTGGATTGACGTCGGCGGTTCCCTGAATGACTTTACATTCGCTTATGAGCGTGATTGAACATACAATGTGCACTTTAAAGAGATGGTAGACTTACTGGGTCGGATAATGCCGAAAGCACGGTCGAAATTGTCCTCGTGAAGATCTCTCAAGACTGGCTTGGACTGACCACGGATCTGTTGATAGGCGCTCATCACCACGAGCATGAAACGGACGTAGCTGTCGGACACCTTATCTGAGTGCCAGGATGCAGCCACCGCTTCGTCGCAGTCGCCGCGCAAGGCAGCACAGATAGTCGTGGCAGCTGAAAGACCACCGACCAGAGCCAGGTGGACGCCTGACGAGAAATACGGGTCGATGAAGCATCCTGCATCACCAACAATGCGAGCATGGGACATGGCGTATGAGGAGGCGCTGTAGGAGTAGTCGCATGCAGATTTGACAGGGCTGACTAGCTCCGCTCTGCCAAGCAGAAGCTGGATCTCTGGTGCCAAACCCAGCGTGTCATGGTAGAACTCCTTCTGCTCTAAGCCTGACTCGCGCTTCTTTGCAGTCGCCGTCTTCTGGTTTCTCACAATGCCGACGGAGACGGTTCCATTGTGCAGGGGTATAAGCCAGACCCAGCCGCTTTCGTCTAATACTCGGGGACAAACGCGGTCAGAAAGAGAATCAACAGAGAAGAAGAAGAAGAAGAAGAAGAAGAAGAAGAAGAAGAAGAAGAAGAAGAAGAAGAAGAAGAAGAAGAAGAAGAAGAAGAAGAAGAAGAAGAAG